AGAAGAAGAAGAAGAAGAAGAAGAAGAAGAAGAAGAAGAAGAAGAAGAGCGGCAAATACAACAGCTCCAAGGTTAGCAACACCCCTTTAAAAAAACATGGGGAGAAGTGGGAATAAAAATCTATTAGAAAAGATAAAAATGCTGACTGGAGTGGGAAATAGCTGCCCCTTTCCCTCCTGGCAGGAGCCCAACAGGACTTTGGGTTTTACAGCTCTTTTGCCACAAATCCACCCAACCCCCCCTCTCTATTGGACGGTTCAGCCAAGCTTTTAAAAATACAAACACGTCAACAAAATACACATCACAAGCTCAGCTACTTACAGGGTCTCTCAGCTCATCATTTTCTTTGCCTGACGTACGAGGTATTTTCATAGGGATTTCATCTCCGCATTCAGTGTCTGAAGCATTGGGAGACTCTGCTAAATCAAGGAACTCATCTCTCTTGTGACCTCTGAACCTTATTTTGTCTAATCTCTTTAGCATGTTCAGCACTGTGCCTTTCTGCTTTATCTTAACATGACGATTGGAGTCCCTGCAAAACACAAATGGGAACAAGAAAGGCAAACAGAAGATTATTTTCAGAACATTCACTATAACGACAAACATTCTAATTACATAAAGTGCTCTTATAATCACTTACTGAATGCTTGCTACAGAAGTAGTAATCCCATTTCAGAAAGGGGATAATATATATATATATACTAAGGCTTACATTCCAAAATCTCTTTATTTTAACAAAGTGTCTATCCATAACAACACGGTTGTATTTGTCCACAGAAGCATTAAATTGGATGCCCACACAGTCATACTTTGAGCAGATCCACTCAAACCTAAAAGTATTTGTAAAGTATTTATGACAGATGTATATCCCATTAATTTTAATGTATCTACTCTTAAGTATAGACCCAACCCATCATCTTTTTCACCAGGTACACAGCAACAGTAATTGCTATTAGAACACCACTCTGTATATGAGTCTTTTATCTGTCCAGATACCGTTTCGCTGAAAATAAGACCTAACCTGAAAATAAGCTCTAGTAGGATTTTTCAGGATGCTCGTAATATAAAACCTACCCCAAAAATAAAGCCTAGTTAAGTGAAACCCTGCCTTCCACCATTGTGCAGCAACCAGAAGATGACATGACTGTATCTGAATAAATGTAGATTGTTGTACAGTGGGGTCTCTACCTGAGAACGTCCCTACTTAAGAACAATTCCACTTAAGAACAGCTCCATTTGCTAAATTTTGCTTCTACTTGAGAACAAAAATCCAGATAAGAACAGGAAAAAAAAACTTTCCTGCTCTTTTTTTAACCTTAGGTCATCTTAGGTTAAAAAAAAGTTCCCCCCCTAGTGGTAGAGTACGTATTAACCAGCTTTGCATTAGTTCCTATGGGAACTAATGCTTCAATGTACGAACGCACCTCTACATAANAAACGCACCTCGACATAAAAAAAAAAAAAACAGCCAGAACGGATTAATTGGTTTTCAGTCCATTGCTTCAAAATTAGCTTCGTCAGAAGTGCTTTTAACACTGTTCCTTGACCTAAGGGAAAAAAAAGAAAAAAATCCCCCTCTAGTGGTAGAAGGCGGAATAGCAGCTTCCCATTAGTTTCTATGGACGGAAAAGAGCAGATACGGATTAAATGGTTTTCAATGCATTCCTATGGGAAATGCAGATTCTACATAAGAACTTTTCCACTTGAGAACCACCTTCCAATACGGATTAAGTTCTTAAGTAGAGACCCCACTGTACATGGAAAAGAGAAATAAAACATCACCTGAAAATAAGCACTAATGCGTTTTTGGAGCAATAATTAATATACGACCCTGTCTTATTTTTGGGGAAGCAGAGTACATACCCTCAACAACAATAATAGTAAAAAAATTAGAGCCGATTTCCAGAGCTTTGATCATGAGGGTTTCACATTTACCCTAACCATAAACAAAAAAAAGGCGGCTTAGAGAAAACAACGCTCAGCCTTAGCTAATCATTTTTAATAATATCAATCAACTTGTCAGGTTTAGGTAATTTTACAGAAATTATGCAGAAATATTTACAAATTAGAACTATTTATTGTTGTTATCGCTAAATTGCACAGAAGTCCCAACAGGAAAATACAGTGGTGCCTCACATTACGACGTTAATTCGTTCCAGCTAAATCGCTGTAGAAAGAAAACATTGTAATGCAAAAAGAAAAAGCCATTGAAACTCATTAAAACTCGTTTAATGCGTTCCAAAGGGCTGTAAACTCACTGTCCAGTGAAGATCCTCCATAAGGCCGCCATTTTCGCTGCCTGTGCAGCGAGGAATCCATCCCAGAAAACAGTGGGGGGCCATTTTGTTTACCCGACGGCCATTTTGAAACTGCCGATCAGCTGTTGGAAAATTGTTGTTTTGCAAAGAATCGGTTCCCGAAGCAGGGAACCGATCATCGCAAAGTGAAATTCCCCCATAGCAAACATCGTTTTCCGATCGCAAAAAGTTCATCGTAATGCGGTTTTGACATTAAACAGGGCAATCATAAAGCGAGGCACCACTATAGCTAGTATAAAGCAAATAGAAGATACACTTTTTAGAAAAAGCTATTAGGAAAATGCTAGAACTAATTAGTTAAGGGAAGAAGAGACCAGAAAAAGACATTTCTACTTCCACAGCCACTGAATTAATAACTGTCTTCTCCAAATGCATGATTGACACTCTCCAAAGTGTGTGTGGCTTTGATTTTGGGAAGCCCAGATAGTTCAGCAATTTGGATACTCACAAAGCCAGAAGTCAAGAGTTTGATTTCCTACTTTGCCTTATAGGATAAGTGCTTTTCCATGTAGTCTTGAGCAAGGTGCAGTTCCAGAGTACCTTCAGAACCGAACAATAAGTCACCTCTGAATACTCTATATAGTGGTGCCTCGCTTAATGAGGAAATCGCTTGACGATTAGGTTTTTGTGATCGCAAAAGCGATCACAAAACAATGGTTTAAATGGGAAAAATCCACTTCACGATGATCGGTTACCTGCCTCGGGAACCCATTTTCACATTACGATGATCTAAAAACAGCTGATCGTCGGGTTTCAAAATGGCCGCCGGGTGTACAAAATGACCCCCCGCTGAATTCCTCACTTTACAGGCACCGGAAATGGCTGCCCCTATGGAGGATCTTCGCTGTACAGTGAGTTTTCAGCCCACTGGAATGCATTTAAGGGTTTTCAATGCATTTCAATGGGCTTTTTTATTTCGCTTAACGAGGATTTTGCTCTACAGAGATTTCACTGGAACGATTATCCTCGTTAAGCGAGGCACCACTGTACCTAGAAAATCCTAGAATGAGGCGCCCTAACCAAAATCAGCTTGATGGCACGTAATTGTTATTTATCCATAACAGTCACAAGTAAGCAAATTACTTGGGCTCCTGGGAGCAGTAAAGAAGAGGAAGGGGAAAGGAGAAGCAACCTCAGGCAGAGCATAATAGATGTTCTTGTATATCATAAGAGCATCAAAAGGTGGTGACAAGAGCGATAGGGACCCTTGCATTCAATATACTCATATGGCTTCCAGCACTTAGTGTGCCACTAGGGTTCTTCTAGCTTTCTGTTCTGGTTCCTTCCCTTTGCCCAACTCAGTTTGCATTCTGTGTGATCACATCTTGTTATACAACAGTGGTTCCCAACCTTGGGTGACCCAGGTGTTCTCGGACTGCAACTCCCAGAAGCTTTCACCACTAACTCTGCTGGCCAGGGTTTTTGGAAATTGCAGTCCAAGAACATGTGAACAATCTGTTCTGATAGACTGGAACTACAACAGTGAATCTTATGGGCTACAAAAAAAATTGAAGTCAAAAATAAGAACTGTAGTCCCAGAAATCCAATGTTCTTTATTTCAGTGTAGAATGCCTAACGCGTTTCGGCCTATCAAGCTTCTTCAAGGGCATGTTTATTGAACCCTAATTAGCTCTTCCTCTGTTTATTCCATCTGTAACCAACTCCATTAAATCAAGAAGGGTGATTTGACTTAGCTGTCAGTGGATGTGCTTGTTCCTTTCATTATTTTCCATACAAAAATTGAAAAAGAAACTAGGTGCAATCTTTCTACTGACTAACTAAGGAAAGATTGTACAAAGTATCTAGGCTTCCAACAAAACTGATTTATACAACAGAACTTTTTTTAAAAAATCTCATTCATACAAATAGGAAGTGGGTAAAAGAGGTGGAGGCTACCATGTCATGCCCTCCACAAGACAGCATGGGTATCTGAAATTATCTTTGGAGCTCCTTTCTGAAGATGCAGCTGGATGACAAAACATGCTCTCCAAATGCATCAGGAAACCATACCTAGAAAAGAGGGTGTGGTTCTCTGCTTTGGCAAAGAATGAGACTCAGGTGGCCAGACCCAGGTGCTTGGGGAGTACAAAACCAAAAAAATTCTCTGACAATTCCAAAGTTCAGTGGTAAACTAATTTCAGCTTGCTGGCTTCTTCAAAGCAAAACAAGTGATATTCAGCAAGCTACATGATTTTCTGCAGTAAGATGGCTCACAGAAAGCAAGAGAGTCAAAAACATGGTGATGAGCCCAAAGCAAGAACAGCAGGAGGTTGGTAGGAACCAACAAGATCAAGATGACAACAGACAGGAAGAACTAAGTACCAAAATTGTGAACTTGGAGATTATTTCTGGCCTAACGCAAAATCAAAAGAAAGAAAGGACACCAACTCATGGACAGAACATATAGAAAGGAGAGGTATAACTCTAGCTATGCAGAACAAGAGACTCAAAGGGGCAGATTTTTCACCCGAAATTTAATTATGACAGTATTCAAGTATCCCTCTTACAGGGTTTGGAGGCTTTTACAAATAGCAGAATACTGAAAGGGTATGTGGTTCTTTAGCTGGCTGTATACTACTTGATTGGTGGCCCATTGGAGATTAACTACTATGTTTCCTATTGGAGATTAACTATAATTATATTAATGGTTTCCTAGTCAGGGTACATGACCTGATACTAATTGCCTAAGAGGCTTGCATTAGCCAGATCTGGATTTCCTGGGCTCTTTTGCCTACCCTGCTCTCTTCTGCATTTTACAGCCTTAGATCAGTGGTTCCCAACCTAAGGGTCATGACCCCCAAGGGGGTCACAAAATGTTTCCTGGGGAGGGGAAGCAGTCGTTTTATATGTGTTGCAGCCCTTGTTAAGTACAGTGGTGCCTCGCTTAGCGGCATTAATCCGTGCAGGAAAAAACGTTGCTAAGCGATTTCATCGCTAAACGGAATTTAAAAGCCCAAAGAAACGCACTAAAACGCCATTAATGTGTTCCTATGGGCTTCAAAACTAACCTTAAAGCGAAGATCCTCCATGGGGTGGCCATTTTCGGTGCCTCTAAAGCAAGGACACACAGTGGTCGGCCATTTTGTTTACCCGGCGGCCATTTTGAAACCGCTGATCAGCTGGCCGAAAATGGGGGCTTTGTGATGATCGCTTCCCTGCAATCATCGTAAAGCAAATTTTCCCCAAAATGACCATCACTAAGCGATCGCTTTTG